GCCGTCGGAACGGGGCTTCCCCCCCCGGCCCGCTAATGCGCGCTGGGATGGGCTCTCACGGCAGAGGCGGAAGAGGACCGGGCCCTGCGGCACCCTCCCTGCCTGCCTGCCGGCCGGGGCTGCCCCACAGCAGTGTCCTCCTGCCCACAGCCGCCTTCCCCTGCCCCTGCCCAGCGTCGTTGCCTGGCCTCGATTTGCTCCCCACAGTGCAGGTGGGTTTCTCGTTAAGGTTAAGGAGAGGGTGATGTTTTTCTAGGGTGGGCGTAGCAGATAAATGGAGAGATGCATGACCTGCTCCCAGCCCTTTTAACTGGAGCGGATGGACCACACAACAATGACAAGCTGATCAGACAGTGATGGGCAGAAGCAAAAGCCCAGTGCAGCTACATAAGCACAGAGGGCATCCATGCCAACTCCTAGTCATCCTGCAATGCGATACAGAGGTAGCATTGGTGCATAGTAACTCTGTTATTGCATAATTACAAACAACAAATAGCACATGGAACCGCTGTGCTGACCAGCACCGCTGGGAACAATGAATACTTAACTGTGTCCTGCAGAAGGTGTTCAATTTCCTCAAAAAATCTACAGAACAGATAATCACTTAGCAACAAAAGGCAAAGTAGTCCAACTTTCTGTCTGAGAGAGGAACCACTTGAACTCAGGACTCCTGTACCTCAGGGAGTTCTTGAACCAATAGATTATTGGGAAAAAGACAGCAAGGCAAAATTTATCCCCATTTATTTCCTTATTAAACTTCATCCTTATCTATTTCAGCACATGCTACACATGTGGCAATACAGATAATGACAACAGGGAACAATGAACCTGTGCAACTGAATCACCTAACCACTTGGCACTGCTGGGACACCCATGTCTACATGCTGCAGGAACTTTTCTGAAGAAAGCGAGGACCAGGTGCTCTGGTCTTCAGTGTTACACTACTGATTTGTTTGTTCTCTATTGCAGTATGGATGACATTTTTTACTGTATTCATTCCAAGATCATCTACACTTTTGGATTCCTGAATTTAATAGGGAGAGCCAGCCTGGGTGCTGGATCTCTGGGTTAGAGGAAGAGTGTGCCACATGCCTTAATGCTACAACACTAATGCTTAGCGCTCAACTGAGTGTTAGAACACCTGCCTCAGAGGTGGGAGGCAAGCATTACACCTGCAATGATGAACAAAACCCTAGCTTGTCTATCACAGGAGGACTTCTTAAACCATTTAAGCCCAGCATTTCACACCTGTTTCAGTCCAGTTTCCACAGTTATGTTGTCCTGGATCTCTACTTACTTTTTGTCACTGGTTAAGAACACTGGAAAGCAAGACTTGTACAATGGCCATCAACTATTTTTTCTCCAAATGCAGGTTCTACTAATACCATACTTGGCACACTCATTGAAGATACATGCCGTTCCTTAGAAGCAGTTTTAATGTATTTTCAGAAATGACAGTCTTGGCTTAGAACAAAAACAATTTTATCTTGATCTGAGATAACTGCAATATTAAGAGTTTTTTAAAAAATCTGTTTAGCCAGGAAGAGATTTCAAACAAGAAACATGGGTAAATCGTTTTTACTTACTCCTAGGCAGCTCCAGGCTTCACCCACCACTACTGACCCACCACATGTTAACCCACCTAAGACTCAATACCTTGGTGCTCTGGCACAAACCATTTCATGGGTCTTCATAGTCAGACACTTCCCTCCAGCACCGTTTCACATACTAGACTGACCAACGTCTCTTGGGAGATGCTGCAGCAGCATTTGCAGGCTGCCTCTTCCATGTTCAAGTGAATTCTACATTAGCCAAGTTCTCGCATCCATTTAAAACATTTTAAAAGGCAATTAAAACTAGGAGGAAAAAAAGGGGGGAAAGTTGGAAAGACTGAACTTAGACTTGCACCTTCATACCACAACAGAGTAGTGGGACGTTTCTAACAGACCACCAGAAGTTTCAAGTTATTCATTGCTATGGTGAAATCAGAAACAACAATATTTTCAAGGAGAAAACCTTAGCGAGGGAGCTCACACGTTTTATAAAACATAGACTAAGTTTGTTGGGATGCATGTTTGTCTCGCTTATATGGCCTGAGCAGAAATAGAAGAAAAGCATACAGAAATACTCCTGTCCAAAGCTTGCTGAAAGCCTCCTCCCAATTAACAGTCATGGTTTTTTAGATCATCTTTAAGCATAGAGAAAAATGGAAACAGCAGCGTTTTATTGCTTTGTCTCTTCCAAAACTGCATTTGCAAGTAAGCTTTCTAGCCTAAACTGTGCTTCCGTTTACACCTCTGCCTCTTCAGTATGCAGGTCTGTACATAAGAACCGACTCTAAATGTTTCTCTGGTCTCAGCATCTATCTATACTTGGCAATTTATGGTATACTATCAATCAACAGCAGGCCATCAAGGTGGCAGCCGGAGACTTCTGCCACTGATGTTTACGTATTTAAAAAGCAAAATAAAAAAAGTCTGCCAGTACTTACCAGTTGTGTATAGCTAGTTGGAAGGTGCCGAGTGTAGTGCTTATGTTAATTTCTATCTCCATCTTTCACCTAATCCACATCCCCCTTTGTTTGTCACATAACCCTTGCTTCTCATACCTGAATTAAGATTCCTATTTCTCTGAGGGGAAAAAAAAAAAAACAACTCTTTTCTGCACACCGCCCTCCCCCCCCCCCCCAAAAAAAAAGGCCTCTGGTTATAAGGAATAAATTTGGGGTGTTAGTCAAGGGGCAGTTAGCTTGTCTTTTGACATAAATGCAGGATTAAGTTTTCTTCATCTAATCAAAACCATCCATGTTCTATCAAGATAACAAGCGTAGACTGCGGAACAATGTTTTACCTCATTTCCCCAGACAAATATAGGTAACAATTTAAGGACCCATTTGCTTTCTCTGGTTATAAGGAATAAATTTGGGGTGTTAGTCAAGGGGCAGTTAGCTTGTCTTTTGACATAAATGCAGGATTAAGTTTTCTTCATCTAATCAAAACCATCCATGTTCTATCAAGATAACAAGCGTAGACTGCGGAACAATGTTTTACCTCATTTCCCCAGACAAATATAGGTAACAATTTAAGGACCCATTTGCTTTAGACAAAAAGCCATGAAGAACTGTGAATCACATCCTTTGTATTTCACTCCAATCATAATGTAACCTGCCCTTTTTGGATGCAGAACACAATCATTTTAAAAAAAACATACAGGAAGATGTGTATTCTAAAAACATGTATGTCATACTTGGGAGGCAGCAAGAGTTTACCGTCATCATTTGCAGAGTCACCAACATCTTTCTTCCCAAGTGTTTCAAGTGTTGGGGTACTTATCCTGCCTTTATAGAATGTTTGCTAAAAATGTGATATTTGCTTTCCAAATGCAAGTAATTCTTTTGGTAGCAGACAAGTGCATTATAGCCCTTAATCCAGAAACACCAGTCCTTTAAAATAAAGTTTTCACTGTAAATCTGGACTACAGGCTCCTCGTTATGCTGATCTAGTCACTGCTATAATATAAATAATAAAAATAAAATGTATTGAATGGTATTTCCACATCCCTTGTGCTTTTTCCATAAGTTAAGACATATTTTATCTCCTGTTAAAAACTGGAAAATACAATGCTGCTGCACGGTGTTCCATACAGCTGCAAGGACACATTCAATAATAGTTTACAAAGCAATCGCATATTAAACAAAAAACTCACCCCACCCCACCCAAGATAATTAAGATAAAACGCCTATCAAATACTGCAGGAACTCTAGTTGGGGGAGACTTGCAGAGTAGTACCAAGTATTTTAGCAATCCAGTTAACTTGTGCAGCAACACAGACAGCTACTAGCAACAATAAAATACATAGCACTTCTCAGAAGAACCCGGCAGTCAAGGCATTGGAAAGTCTCCAGAAAAGACAATTTGTTCTTGTGAAATGTCAGGTTTGGTGTCACTACACTCTTGACGTATATCTGATGGTTCAGAAATGTAAATGCTTACTGGCGTGATCTGGATAATACTTCTCTACCATGTCACAAGATGAAGACCCTGTTCCCTGTGATCTACCTCCCTCCTGAAGGACTACTTCCTGGAAACAGCTGGAAGGGCTTCCACCACAGACACCTGCAATCTCACTGCAATACCTGTTTCTTGCCTGCTTGTATGTCACAGATGTGAATTAAATGGAGACTGCAAGAGCCATTTTTTCTCTTTGGTTATTAATGAATGACAGAAGCAAGATGTTCACAAACATCTCTCTCCCTGAATTGGAGAAAACATTAGATGAAGGAGTAAATTGGAGCAAATAATTTATTTACACCTGTTTTAAGAAGTTTGCATTTGTAAACTGTTGATATGAAGCATAAAAGCTATACCTACAGTTTACCTAACCACTTCAGTTTAAAAGCTCAAGGTGCAAAGAAAAAAAGAACAGCATGCCTTACTGCCTGTATTTATTAACTTAAAATAAACAAAGATAACATTTACTCTGCATTTAATGATATCACATGAGATTAGAACTATTCAGGATGTGTTGAATTATTTTGATGAGTTATCAGCTGGCTCTGCTCAAGGGAGATTTCCCCAGGAGCATCCAAAGCTACTGCTCGTTGGTCTTTGGCAAATGCTTTGTGGTGGATTTTGACTCACCAGCAGGTGTTCTCCTTTAGGAACCACTGGCTCTTCCAGTATTTGAAACAACTGCTATCTTCTTCTGTGGAATTGGGCCTTTTTCCTCCTAAGCCACCCCACTATTTCCCATTTATAACATACGGTAAGGGTTACTCCAAGGATACAGAGAAAAGGAAGACTAAGTAGCATTACTCCTATTTTTGCTCTCTGAAAAATCTCCCTGGCTGGAGGGGGTCCACTGTCAACGCTACCTCCAAATCCTTCCCATTCACAATATGGAGGAGCCCAGCCATACCTGCAGTGACAGTTCTTACGATTGTTACACACTCCTCTGTCATGACACTTTGTCATGTTACAGTCATAGTTCAGCAGTGATATGCTGGTACATGTCCTGTTTATACAAAGCATATCACTACCACACGGCGTGCCATCTTCCACAGCCCCCATGTCAGCCATTGGCATCCCTACGTGATAGTCGAGACCCCAACACTTTTTATCTGCAACAGGGGTTTGGACTAGTGTTACGTGGTTCTGCAAGAAAGGCAATTTGTCTATGTTTTCACACTGGATCCTACCGCATAAGATATTCTCAATACTGCATTTTGTAAAATGGATATTGTTACGAATACCACAATTCCCAAACCGGTCACCTCGAGTATTCACTGCTTTGAAGCAATCTAAAGGACCAGCCCTGGCTTGTTTGCCAAAGAGATGCTGGCACTGTTTACTGTGGGAAGAACATTTTCCTCGATAGCAATAAGCACCACCTTTGCAAGGGGTCCCATCTTGTATGTACACATCAGGCGGGCACTGAGGGGAAGTCCCATTGCAATACTCTGGCAGATCACAGTTGCCAGTACTTGCTCTGCAGAGCGTTCCTGCTGGAAGGACCTGACAGCTCTTGCAGCATTTTCCAGAAGCACAGACTGAACCTGCAGTAAACGTACAGTTCAGGTGACAACAAGGATCCTTTCTGCAGTTTGATTCTGAACCACAGTCACATTGCTCTCTGCTTTCTACTATCTTATTCCCACAGTATTCACGCTTCATTGTGTAGAAAGTACCGGGTGCTGGTGGCTGACGAATGCAGCCGGCACCACGTCCAAGCATGTCAAAGTAGTCTTTGTAACTGCAGTCACTAAACGCATCGGTGTCGACATCACTTTCATACATAATGCATTTCTTTCGTCTGCATTTGCAGCCCCGTTCATCATGGCGCATCCCAAGAGCATGGCCCAGCTCGTGGACAAATGTGGTAATAAATGAGGACAACTTCCTATCAGTGAAGGAAGCAACTGCTGATGACCACTGGTTATCACACATGGACCCTAGAAATGTCAATCCCAGGCTCCTTCCAAAGTTCTGAAATGCAAATAAGTGAGCGGTATCATGACGCATCCGTGGAGACAGGTCTGACTTCCGCCATTTGTTAAAGTCGTCAAGTGCCTTGTTGACAGAGTTAGTAATGTTTATAAGGTTGCTTTTGGTCCAGATCTCCAATCCCACAAGAAACAGCCGAACAGAAAGCTGTTCGTACAGAGAGTCCCCAATGTTGATGATTTCTATTACTTGCCTCAAGACTTCAGATTCATTCCTGCCCGACTTCACAAAGCGCACGTTGTCCACAACCACTGCTATCTTCACGTACCTGACGTGCGTCCACCAGTCCTTCAGCATCTCCTCCTCCTCCGCCCGGGGGGCCTTGAACCAGGGCAGCAAAGCCTTTTGGTGCTCCAGCTCCTCTGGGGTCAGCCCACAGGTGGGGCCTGCAGGGTTGTTGGCCTCCTCCATGCGGTAGAGGATGTGCCGGAAGGCTGGATCATCGGGGACAGGCTCGATCTCGTAGGTGCCATCCTCCACCCAGAGCACACCACGGAGGCCCCTGCCGCAGGTGCCGAGGGCCACCAGGGAGCCGGGGCTCCCCTGCACCTCACCCTGGTAGAAGCAGTTGTCCTGCACAAAGGGGTGCTCCTCCCAGCGGGCCCCATCCTTGCCATAGGTGACCAAGGTGAAGGGGTGGGAGATCAGCCCCCGCCTGGGCCACAGGCGCAGCACCCGCGGCCGCCCCTCCACCTCCAGCCAGTAGGAGACGGCCAGGGGGTTGGTG